TGGTATATTTCCACAGTAAAAAGCAGATAGACAAGTAGAAATTATTCTACTCTAATATTCTCTGTAATTACTCTGTAATTATTCTACAGAAAATACTACTCCCTTTTTAAAAGCCGCTTCCTCTTTGCCCTCAAAGAACTACTTCCATTTTGGCCTGGTAAAAGTGGGTGCGGTGCATGTCGGAGGCCACTTTACAGCGTTTGTCACAGCTACACCCACACCAGGGATCTGAGTGACTGGTCTGACATGTGGCTTTCAGGTTTCATAGTCTATTAACAAACTCCATCTAGAGTGGACCCACAGTGGAATCTATGCAGCTTTAAAAGGAAGAGGGAAACTTACAATGAAAATCGTAATAGACGTAAAAGGCAACTAACCTTTTTCCACCTCATTCAGATTAGCAGCTGGCAGCGACAGAGACAGAAGAGACAGAAGGCGTTGTACAGTGCAGCGCCAGGGCGGAGCACGCACAGCCACGCAGCATGAACGACAGAGAAGCCAGGGTGAGCGAGCAAACGGAAGCAAGGCGACATTCCTTACCTACAGCTGCGCCAAACGCACAGACACGGAGGAAACGAGGCAGAGGGGACGCGCCATCACAGGGAGGTCTGCGGGGAGACGGGGCGCGGGACAGCCCGCAGGTGCACTGTGACAGCTGTGCACTGAGGGGCTGGGGCATGGGCGTCGGGGAGTCGAGACAGAGAGATAATGGGTGTACAATGAAAACTGAAAGTGTTCTGAATATTTCCCACAAAATATATTCTCAGAATTTACTTGCCCAATTGGTAGGGAAACTTTGATTTTACTGCATTTATATAATCCCGTTAAACGTCATACTTGTATGATTCTTGCGCAGGACCCCGTAGGAATAGGGTTAATTAAGATAAAGTCTTGATGTAGCCGATCCCAGGTTTTTGCAGTTGGGAGGTAGGCAAAAACACAATTTTTCGATTGAACACCTAAGTTAAGACCAGAGCACAAGCAAATAAACAGGGGTATGTATTTACAGTTTTCAATTCTGTAGGCTGTGAGCTTATACAATTTCAGGAATTCCTGGGAATTTACCTCCAAGAAATGTCTTGGTTTTAGAAAGATGATATTGATTTAGACAAAAAAAGAAAATTAAAACCAAGGTCTCTTGAGCTAAAATTAAAATCCTGGAATTAATTTTTAAATTGAACGATTGTGAAGCCCTACTTTCCCTATACTTAGCATAAAGATTTTAATTTAGAACCACAGGGAGTTCAGTGCTTCAAAAATTTATCTTGTCTAAAAATACTAGCAGTGGACAGTCGTGCATTATACAACTAGATGTAACAAGGATGGGTTGAAATAGGTTGAGAAGGGTGGCACCTGTGGCTCAAAGGAGTAGGGCGCCCGCCCCATATGCCAGAGGTGGTGGGTTCAAACCCAGCCTCGGCCAAAAACTGCAAAAAAAAAAAAAAAAAATAGGTTGAGAAGATTAGTTTTGAAGACTATAGAATTGGGAGGTTACAGCAAGGTTTAGATAAAAGTATTTAGAAAAGAGTATTGACCTTATAATTTATGCTGTCAATTCCTGGAGCAGGAGAAAGCAGAGACTTTTTAACTCTACTAAATCAATAATCATTTACTGTGATTTTTTTTTTTGTCACTCAGGGCTTAAGTAAACTTTAATAAATCCCCCAATACTGGTTCACTTTATTCTGGATCTCTCTACCTGTGTTTTCTAGCCTGCACATCTCATCCTGACTTCTCTGTCCAATTTCTCTCAGATCTCTGACATTTTCCCACTGATACACCATGTCCATTCTGAGTCTCAACATAGGTGACAAGTGCCAAAAACGTTCACCATAATAATTTATGAGCTTTTTCTAGGAAGTCATATTTGCTCCTTTAAAAAAGAGTTTACTTTCCTATCAAACACCTTTGGCATATATAATAAAAAAACTTCAAACTTGCAACTAGAATGATTTTTTTTTTTTTAACTTTTTTGAGACAGAGCCTCAAGCTGTCGCCCTGGGTAGAGAGAATACTGTAGCGTCACAGCTCACAGCAACCTCTAACTTCTGGGCTCAAGTGATTCTCTTGCCTCTGCCTCCCAAGTAACTGGGACTGCAGGCACCTGCCACAATGCCTGGCTATTTTTTGGTTGCAGCCATCATTGTTGTTTGGTGGGCCCAAGCTGGATGGGAACCTGCCAGCTCGGGTGTATGTGGCTGGCACCTTAGCCGTTTGAGCCATAGGCGCTGAGCCATGACTAGAATGATTTTTTAACAATGACAACACGATTAGATTCTTTGAACATAGCAGGGCTTCTGTTCCCGGATCTAATGCTCATTAATCAGACTCTGAACTTAAATTTAAAATAATAAAATCACATTATAAGAAAATTTCTCCTGAACTGCAGAGTTGGATGAGGCAGGATATTGAGTTCTAGAGCCCCATTTATATATCTTTATAATTAAAGACCCCTTACGTGCCACTGATTTCAACATCTGCAGATGGTTGTTTGAAATTTTGAAATTGAGCTCATTTCACATATGCACAGCAATACTAGTTAATAGATGAGTTATTAATTTGCCTATTTAGATATCTTTTCTCATGCCAAATTGTGAAACTCTCCATTACAATGGCAATGCTTTTATGCTTTAAATGCCACACACTTTCTATTGAGTTTCGTGTTTCTGTCAATCCTTTGTTTAAATTTAAGGCAAAGTGACATCTGTAATAGTTACAAGTAAAATGATGAAAAAGAGTCTCAGTTCTGGTGGAGAGCCAAATGGTTCCTGACAGATAGTCATAGCTGGTTCCCACAGGATGGTGCTGACAGATAGTCATACCTGGTTCCCACATGATGGCTTTTATAGATGTCACATTTTGGCTAAAAATGGTTTGCTAAGTTTGGGGTATGCATTACATGTTTCAAGAGAGCTCTGACATAGTTGGGGAAGTGAGGCTTCCTAACAGTTCTCAGAGGGAATGTCTCTGAATTGAGCTGATCACCTCATATAGGAGAAACTGTGTGTTCAGGAGGAGCTTGTGTAGGAAGGGAGCTGGGGAGTGAAGGGTTAGCAGGTAAGACGGAGACTCAAAGGAAAGGGATAAGACCAGAAACAGCCCAAATAAAGCCAAAGCAAGGGGCTCCCTCCAAACCCACTCAGGAGAGCGTACCGCCTTGTGCGTGTATAAATTATCATTAAAAAGACATTTAAGAGCCTGAGTACAGCCTCACTGCCTAGCCTAGGTTTTTTAACCAACTGAGGATAAAATTCCTGATTTCAATGCTGAAGAAGGCACTGATTAACCAAAGTGTGTTTGAAACGCAGGGGTCCAATTAGTCTGGGGGAGTCAGAGAGGGTTGGTTTAAAGAGGTCCCTGAAATTAAATTAACTTAGTTCCTAAGCTCTTTCCCTAGTGATCAGAACAATGATGGAAAAGTAGAACTGTCCTGTCCTAAGAAGGTTCTTGGGAACATATTTTAGTCTGAACATTGAGCTGCTTGTGCGACACTAACTGCCCAGCCAATAAAGCTCAGAATCTGTAAGGAGCTCTGGTGGCTCCGGAGTCTGGGGCCACCAGCTCACAGTAAGTGTCTGAGGTGTGACATGGTAATACTGGCATGGTCATCAACTGGCTACGTGACCCCTGAACTCTTTCCAGCCACGTCAGAGTAGATGTATGTTGCAGTTACTTCTCATCCTTTCTCAATGAGAATATCAAAGAACGCTCAAAATCCACCGACTCGGCCATCTAAAGCCACTGTATTTGTGACTAGAACATTTGGTGCTGGGGCACAGTCAAATTTCTACTGGAAATTTAGTATGATATTACCTTATATGCCTTCAGATACCTTACTGGTATTAAAAAAAAATTAACAAAACAAACAAAAACCCCAAAACACAACCAGACCATGGGAAAGGCAGATTTGAGGCACTTAAACAGAGCTGGGTCACCAAAACAGAACCCACTACTCTATGCAGCATTTTCCCATCGACAAAAGCACTTAGTAAAAGGCAAAGCTTGGGCATTCCAGAGAAGCTTAAATTGCAAAGGCTTTCCAACAAATCCCTAGGAAAATTTAATTATAGAGATGTGCGTTCATCCTTTATATTCAGAGAGGCTGACTGTAGTCACCTATGTAGTTGTCCCACCCTTGATATTCTTAAATATGTATTAAATTACATAGAAATAATTAATGATATGCACACTAAAAATGGTAACTGTGATAGAAATTACTTAATTTCTTGTTACAAATAAAATGTGTAATATTCTCTTTTTCCCTAACTTTAAGTGATCTATTAAGGATACAAGAGAACTATGAAGTTTCTTTTCATAGCCACAAAAAAGAATCAAACAGACGTTCCAACAACAAAGACAAGTCAGAAACTTGACTTGTCTTCCCAGAAAATTGGTTTTTCTGTGTATAGGAAGAGTAGTTGAGCCATTTAGATAGTCTTACGATATTTATCACCTAGAGAGAAAGAAAAAAAATCAGGAAAAAGGTGATGATTTCATCAAACTCTTTCATAAAATAGCCTCACTTTCTTCCTGACTGAGTTTTACTTTGAAGGACATGAGTTACTAGTGGCAAACATTCACTGGGGAAGAAAGAAGCATTGCTGTGAGGAATTTCAAACTGTTATGTTTTGGCTATGTAAAGAAACGCTTCCCTTCCCTGCTACTCTCTTTTCCTATGTGTTAGTAGGTTTGTTTGCACAGAGAAAATGGTTTGCACTAAGGCCACTGAAGTGTGGTGTTGAAAGTGCCACGCACACAGTCTCTCTTTCTGCTGGAAAGCATGATTTTATGCCAGATACATGGATTGGAATTGAGCTTGCTGGGTCTTTTCTTTGGTTATATCTTTTAAGTCCTTCTGTTATTTTCATTACATGGAATTTTCAGAACACCTACCAGTTATCAAATAATAAAATGGTTGACTTAACATACATAACACAGGGCCAATGGTGCTTTCAAACAGACGCAGGGGTTGAAGGCACAATATTTCCTCTTCTTCCTACCTGTATACTCAGGTGGGCAAAGGCATGTGTAGTTGTTAATTCCATCGACACAGGTAGAATTATTTTCGCAGTCATTGTCTTCACAATCATCAACGTTGATTTCACAATTTTCTCCTTCAAACCCATCAGCACAAACACACCTGAATACCAGGGAAGAAAAGGCAAAAAACAATAGTTTTTGCTGCATGTGAAAGCCATATGGTCTAAATATTGAAAAAAAAGCATAAATACACTCATCAATTTTTAACTTTTAAAAGTAGAGCTTTTAACTATAAGAAATGGATATTTAAAATGCTTTTAAGTGACATTTTGTAAGTAAGCATCAGTTTAAGGTAATAATCCACCAAATTGGAAACCGTTCAAAAAAAATCTATTCTGGTCCCCAAACAGTAAATGGTTTCACAGTCTTAAAAGTCAATAAATTGTATGTATTTATAGGTCAAAACATAAGAAAATTTTACTCCACAGCTATAGATACATTAACCTCGATTTGTGCTCTAATAAAATAACTCAGGCTTCCTTGCTTATGAATGAGGAGGAACTGGCTCTGGGTTTTAAAAAACTCGTAACATCTACTACTCTATAATGTCCCTGATGTTTTGAAACAACAATAAATCTGGAAACAAAATTTCGTCTTCATTGAAATTACAAAATGTGAGTGTTCTCTTTAAGTCTCCATAAATGCATTTTTCCCCCTCTGGCATAAAACATTGTATTTTTCATCTTGAGTCTATATCAGAATAATCTTTGAGTAAAGTCTAAATGCATAAGAGATAATTTCATGACAGAATGCAGAAGGGAAGTGTATTTCTCCTAAAGAAGTGAGATTTCTAACCAGCTTCAGCAGCAGATTAGCATTCTTATCTGAAATTATTAGTGTCATTCCATAAAGGACTCCACTTCATAATTCATGAAGTACATCTGAAGTAATTCTACCATATGATTAAATAATTCCAGACTACGACTGCTCACAGCATGTCTGTCTACTTACATTGGGTCTTGGAAATAAAACATTAATTTCCCGTTTCCAAGGGATCTACATTTTAACATTACATACTACCAAAGCAATAAGCAAAACAAAGGATGAATAAATGATTTTCAGTAGGGGACTACTTGGCTTTTAATTAGTAGAGCCAATTCCCTAACCTGAATTGATTAATCATAATGTGTATATGTGCAAGTTGATAATTTTTTTATAGCATTCCCAAGCTCAGACTACGGTGGTGTCTCCATTTATTTCTAATATTCTAATATTCCTTACAGGGACTAATACTTGTTGTCCTTACTCTGAAATTCTTTTAAAATAACGTTCTTGCATTTGAAAAGGAAAATGCATGTTTGCTTATTCTTGCTCCAATACTTCACACACACAAGATCACAGACTAATGACCTACCAGAATCCATCCTTTTCTCCTTCTTTTAAGTGGCAAGTTCCTCCGTGTTTACATGGGTTACTAATACATGCATGAATTGGGACATCACAGTCCTGTCCCTGTGAAGAAATTGGCAATTAAAGTTGAATATAAATCACAGAGAAAATGTAGTAGAGGAACAAAGGCACACCAAGGAAGGTTGTATTTTCAAATCATAGCTCCCGTGACAGCGTCTACTTACCTTAAAACCATAAGGACAGGTGCACCGATAAAAGTCCACCGGATCGCTGTTACAGGTGCCATCATTTTTACATGGATTTGAGAGGCAGGGATTACATTTAGCTAGAATATTGACATCCACGGGGCCTACAAATTAATTGGTGAAAATGAGAAAGGATTCCATTTTTAGTTCCATTAAAATCATACCTATGCCTTGATTGTAACAGTACATTTTGCATAAAAATTATCATCGACCACATATGCATACATGTTTCTCTTCCATGAAAAAAACCAGAAATCAGCATCATCATATTATGTGCAAGGATTTCTCAGTGGGATCTGTCAGAGTTAGACTCAAGGTTGGTAGCTCACGTGGTTAGATCTGATGTAAAGAGTGCCATTGTCCCATGGCGAGTCCCCTCATGGGCTGACTAGATTACATGGTCATGTTCCATGGCCATCTCCTGCATGTGGACCTCAGTCAGCTTTATGGAAATGCATGCATCAGTCCCTGAGATGACCACACACACAAGGGTGCAGTGGGGTGGGCTAGTTTTACAAATAAGTGGAAATTCACCATTGCAATTGAAAACACAACAGAATGCACCTGGCTCGACACTATTATCTCAGATTGTTTCATACAGGACATACAGAACTGCCATGTGTATACGTGTGGAAATAAACTAAAAGTGCGTTCTCCATCACAATCTTCCCCGTAGCCTTTTGACTCAGTTTATGTGTTGGTTTGTTAGCACAACACGCCAACGTTCTGCATCTTCCTCTCGGAAAAGAAAACACCACTGAGATGATATCTACTTCCAATCTCATATTTTGGGACACACTTTTAAAGATTTCCATGATCCATAAAAGGTCTGGATTAAATGCAGATTTAGCCGCAGTCATTCGTCTCTGGTGTCATATATTTATTGAACGAATGGCTAACAGTGTGGCAATTATACTGTGCTTGATAAAATTATGTCCCACTGATGCTACTTTTTGGCATCCTGAGAGATCACCTGACTGGCTTTTGGCAACTCTGTATGATAACAAAAATGGCAGAATGATGCCTTTACACTAATAAATCAAGCATTTTAAAATATAAACATTAATTGTATTTCTCCCATCACCAATCTCTCTGTAGCTCTTTATCCCCACTGAAACAAGCAATGATAATTCCCAATTGCAGGTTTCATCACTTCTAGCCAAGTTATCTGGACACTTGTGTGGCCGCCACCCCTCCCCACTCCTCCTGCTATAACTTTCCAAGGTACCTTCACCCAAAGACTTGTATGACTTCTGCTCACATAAATTACATTTCATCAAATTATTCTACAGGTTAGAGCTCACAGGTGAGAGCTGTTGGTCAATATGGGGGTCACAGAGATTCCCCATATCTTCTCATTTCCCTTACCCTGGGAAATACTAGGACGTATTCAAATAATGGTTTTGGATTAAAATCCAAAGAATGGTGTTCTGTATTTTTCAGTCTTTCTTTTGACCCTGCCCTTGAAGTGTGTCTATGTCTGCATTAAAATTCTTTAGACTTTTTTTTTAACTATTTGAGAATAAGTCACAGTTCTGGGGATAATGGGAATAGAGGTGATTGCTTCCCCTGACACGTCAGTTATTAGGGGAGGAAGTGCCTGTGCCAACGCCCTGTTGGCTTTTCCTTGGTAGCAGAACAACAGTTCCAGCTGGGAAATGTCTGGGCTTCACTCTGACATAAGCTTCACAGAAATTGAATTTCTTACTCTCCTCCTCAATCTATTTATCAAAGAAGAACCCCCAAAACAAAAGCTATTAAGCTAATACTGAAGAAATGAATGGAAGCAGGTAAAGTAATCAGTTCAGTTGATGTAATACCTCACCTCACAATGGTTTTAAGCTTGCTGACGTTATCTTGCTCAGAGTTTAGAAACAGAAAAGGAAATGTCTGATGTGTAGTGAGAGGATCCCCCAGCTCGGGTGGAAGAAAGAAGACCCTGACTCAGAAGAAAGGTGTAGGACGAAGTGGCCGAAAACGTACACCAGCAAAACAGCAAGTCAGAAAATGCAAGGACCGCACACATTTGTGTGGCCACTTCCCAAGACCTTGAGGAAAAAGGTCTTTTGGCCCATTCCTGTGTTTTCCACCTTGTAAAGCTCTGATTTGCATAGACGGATTAGGGGTGGGTGGACTGGAATGTGACATCTTTCAAAAATTATATTTGAGCACCTAGATGAGAAGCTAGAGATTGTTTTAGGGAAAAAAAACAGAATTTGTTTTGTAAACTTTAACAAGAACACATACCTAACACAACTGCCAAGCTGAAATAGACCTTGTCCAGTTTTAGCATAAAGTCAGGCTTTACTTAGCAAATGATCACGGAACCACTCAGGTTAAGGAAGCATTATCTAACTTCTCCACTTTTTTTTCCCAAGACCAAATTTCATTTCTATATACCTAACTGTGCTCTATTATTTTCATACCTGGACTACTGTATGAACATATGAAGGAAGACTGCTGCCAGCTTGTATGTATTAAGTTTAGCTAAAAAGAATCAAGAAAAGTTTTCTCACACACCCAGGCCTCTCTGATAATCTCTTAAATCCATTCAACTGTTTCGGTGGCTGTGGGTTTGGGAATAGGACAAAATATTAAGTTGTAACTTCCTTTGGTTGGTGAAGTTCACTGCTACCAACCTTCTCCATGGCAAAGTTAGTTACCATTCCATGTGCTTCTCCTTTATCCTTCTTTTACAATGAGTTCCTAAAAGACCCTTTTTTCCTTCCAGTACTTGAGTTTGAGTGAAAGATAATCCAAAAGATATTCTTAAGTCAAATAAATTCCAAAGAGCAGCATCTGCTATTATCTCCAAATGTCTTAAAATGATAAAATTCCTTTTCCTATTTTATTTAGATTATAATTCCACTTAACTAAAAGTCCATCTTAGGATGTGATGTTTACATCTGCCTGGTTGAAATCTGCCTATTTCTATCGTCTAACCCCTGAGCATGACACCCCTTGCATTTGGCTCTCTCCTCCCACTCATTTCCCCATATGATTCTCCTTTTCTAAATCTATCGACCATCTTCTGCGTTTGCCTCTGACTTACGATTTATTTTCTATCTAGTACCCTTCCTCAGAGATCTCCTGTGGCAGCCTTCTTATTCAAGGGAAACGGCATCTTTAATATATTTAAAGATGATAAAATAGTCCAGGTTTGGCTCATACCTGTAACCCCAGCACTCTGGGAGGCCAAGGCGGGTAGATTGCCTGAACTCAGGAGTTCATTGCCAGCTTGAGCAAGAGCAAGACCTCATCTCTCAAAAATAGCTGGGTGTTGTGGCGGGTGCCTGTAGTCCAAGCTACTGGGGAGGCACAGCCCCAGGGAAGCACAGCCCCAGGGAAGCACCGGAAGGAGCAGCGCAGCTCTAGGGAAGCACCAAAAGGAACAGCACAGCCCCAGGGAAGCAGCAGAAGGAACAGCACAGCTCCAGGGAAACACCAGAAGGAACAGCACAGCCCCAGGGAAGCAGCAGAAGGAGCAGCACAGCCCCAGGGAAGCACCAGAAGGAACAGCACAGCCCCAGGGAAGCAGCAGAAGGAGCAGTACAGCCCCAGGGAAGCACCAGAAGGAGCAGCGCAGCTCTAGGGAAGCAGCAGAAGGAACAGCACAGCCCCAGGGAAGCACCAGAAGGAACAGCGCAGCCCCAGGGAAGCACCAGAA